TTTTGTTTTTTTTTTTTCATACCAATAATATAATAAATGAAAATTTTCAAACTAAATAAATAAAATAAAAAAAACATTACGCCGAGAATACCAGCCATTACGGAGAACATGAAAAATATAGACAAAATGAGGTATATAAAATGTACAATTTATAATTTTATTACATTAGATCTAGAGCAACTAGTCAATACGTTTATCTTACGAAATGCACGGGCGTGGCGGAGTTTTTGATATTGTGATTGTTATGTAATATAATAACAGATTCATCAATATTATTTTGTTTTCTTATCCTTTTTTATCCCCACTCCTCTGGATTACGTAATGTCAGCTAGTCACCCGCGCCTAACATGAACTGCAGGGTCTGTCTGTGCCTTATGACACTATATTAGGGCATATTCATACATGCTTCTGGATAGGCGAACTAAATAAGAAATGTTTATAATCTCCTTTGTTTGCGAGTCAACCACCGTCCACTAAGTGAGGATGTATCAGATGTTTTTCATTATTTCTGGGGTGGTCTTCAGCTAGAACGTTACCGAATGTCTCTCTGGGTGTCAGTTACAATACACTAAAATGACCTGGACCGGAGGGAAGAGTCGAGACCATTCTGGAATGCTCGAGAACCATCATCTATAAGTGATGTGGATGACTTCTGACACTTTATTAGAGTATTTTATACATGTTTTGTCTTAATTTTTCTAAGGACCGCCTATAAGGATTCAGATTTGTCCAGTTTTGGAGTGGGTTGAAGGTCGACCACAGCTACTAGAATGTTATTTAATATTTCTTGCGTGGCCCTCAACTAAAATATTCTCGAGTATGTAGAATTATGGTCAAGTAAAATACTCTAGAGTCTAGAGTGAACTGAACCGGAAAAATCGAGTTTGAAATGTTCAAAGACTATTACGTTTAAGCGATACAGAGCTGAGTTCTGACACTAAATTAAGCCACTTCGATCAAAGTGTACTAAAAAAATGAATAGAATGTTTTGTAATGTTCGAGAGTTTTCAAATCTGGTGTGTGTTTGGATTTACTGATCGACCATACCAAATATCGGTAGAATAGGTGACAATGGGAACCCAACGAAACGGTTTATCATTAACTATTTATTTCTTTTAAATAGATGACCACTTTACTTATATATGCATTGCTTTAACTACAAGTATTTGTACTGTAGCAAGCACGAGTGTGTTTGTGTGCGATAGGGCGTACGTGTGCGTGGACGGCTTATCGATTCGCCGACGAGCCGCGGGCGCCTTTTTTCATGTGCGCCGTCTTTGTAAATGTGTATGTCGTACCTGCGTTCTGGGAAAACAGTTAAACAGTTCAAAGAAAAATTAAACGATCCGGATGTTTCTAGAGGGTTCCAGAAAGGAAAGAAAAGAGTATTTAAAGGAAGAGACGATCGCCTAGATAAGTAGAAATAAATTGACCGTTGCAGAAGTGAATACAGAAATAAATTAACAGTGATAGCAGTGAAATAAATAGCGCAGTGAATAGTGATATATTAATAATTAGTGTAAATAAACAGTTTTTATTACCAGTCTTAGAAGTTAATTTTGTTAAACCCACGAACATTACAGTACGTAAGATATTTAACTATCTGATAAGAAATATTTAGGTTTTGCGGTATGGAAAAAATGCTACTGAAAGTATTTGTTTCGTAAAAATTTAATGCTTTTTATATTCATTTTACAAAAAGAGAGCAACGATTTCGTCAAGAATAACTACAAAAGATTTTCTTTTAACCATAGAATTATAAAGCACAAATTAGCAGTGGGAAATAATTAGATAGTGTAGGACAGCTAAGGAACAGTGGATTGATATCAGGTGTAAAGAAGTAGAAAAAAAGTTTGAAGTACAAGTAGGATTCACAGCTCCAAGGAGGTAAAACGGATGAGGCTTTCGTTGACTGAGAAGTTTGATTATTTCACAGCTCCAAAGGATTACAAATATGAGCGTTTGATATTCATTTCATATTTATACTTTTGCTCATTTCTGAGAAAAGAATCTTGATATGCAGACAGAGATGGACAGCAAAGTGATCCCATAAGGGTTCTTTTTTCATTTTGAAGAACGGAACCTTGAAAAGGGCAGTAGTTGTCCGTAAGTAAAGATGTTACTCGCAGAAGCATTTTGCCCTCCCAATACTACTTTTCCCTGCCGCCAAACTTTAGAATATTATGTTTTATTTGGAATGCATACCAAAACTAAACGGCTGTGTCATGAGTTCAGGACCGTCTTTAACCTATTGGAGGCCTTAGGAACGTGAGCACATACGGATAGTGGAGTCCCTCTGACTTTAACATAAGACTATTTTGTTAAAACAACTCTAAGGAGATTGCAAATTACCAGGAAATAATAGTAGATGGCTGTATATTACCCATATGCAGTTTGTTTGTTCTAAAAGTTATTTTAATATCGTAATTAAATATTCGGTTAGAAAGTTTGCCTTTGTTATTAGCTAGTAATACGAGTAGTACTACATGTTACGCATATTAAAAAGTTGTAGTATAAGTAATAAAATAGTGAAAACTAACCAAATGATAGTATTAATCGTTCATTAACCTTAATATAACATCATTTATAATAGCTAAATTTAATTTGTGAAATTTACACAAATATTAAAAGATAACCCACATTGCAGATTTAATACATAGACAAGTACATTATGTTTCCGCATATCTGTCTGCAAAAGTTTTCTTACTTTTGATACTGCTAACAATGTTGCATCATCACTTCGACTTTTGTATAGTCTGCTGAGATGCCACGTCGTTATTGTCTCACTCTGGCTATTAAAGCTGACCCTTTTTTGAGTATTATGATCATTTTTACCACCCAATAAGTTTGGTTGAGTTTTGTAATAGTAAGAGTTTTTGTGCAATTATTTGTTTGCGTATTTCGTACTTTATCTTGTGAATTTCCATTTCCTTTTTTCCACAGTGTTGCTTTTTTTTATAAAATTTTCGTCTTATATTCCCTCATTCGTTAAGAAATTATTATTATTATCATCTTGTTGAAGCATATGTAATCCTAAAATGTAGTACTGTACAACAGATGGTGTTTACAGCATCATTTGTCGTATTTTCTAAAACGCGCTGTTAAGGCAGCAGGTAAAAGTTGGTCTGTGTTCTGTCGGAGCTGCCTGCGACGCGCTGATGAGATCCAAAAAGATCGAAATCGCGATCCGCATCTGGCAGTTTCGACAGAATACAGACCACTTCGAATTATTTTATTCGATTATGGTAACGTGTTTACCACGTTGAGGTAAGCTACTCCGGGATTCGTTTCAGCAAGTAGATATCCATATATTTAAATGGACCTTGTTGAAGCATACGTAATCCTAACATGTAGCACTGTACTACAGATGGCGTTTACAGCGCCATTTGTCGTATTTTCTTTTGGCAGGTACTGTATGAAAAAGTATGTTTAATGAACAAGAGTCGAGAGTATCATGAGCTTTTTTCTCCCTACCTGCGACATTCGAAGGGGCACATCGCTACAGAAAGTAAATGAAGTATATGATATATACTCTGAAGGAAGAATTATTAATCAATTAACGTAAAAAAATTGATTAATTATTTATTGTTCATATTAGAACTGAATTTTTTTATGGATTACATTAGATGATTTATATTTTTAATAATTGTAAGGTCAATTGCTTAATATTAGTAAATCCAATTTTAATTTAATTGGGCAATGCTTTCTTATACTTTTTGGATTTAAACAACTATTACTTATTATAATCTGATGCATCTTTGGTTTCAATGTCCTTCATTATTATAGTCGAAACATATTACAAGTCAAAACCATTTCAAACTGCGAAAATCATCAATAGTAGTTTTACCTATTTTGTAATATGTCGGAGTATATAAGCAGTGACAGTTCAAGCGCAAAATCCCGTGTATTATCTTATGAAGGTTCATTTTCGTCCTTTTTCTGCCGTTTTGCCCCCTCCACTCTTACTCTAACGTCACGGTCGTCTGCCATCGTTGACAGCTGTCATCGTCGGCCATCTTTGACAGCGGTCATCGTATCTTTTTGACAGCTGTCATGGTCAGTCAGGTCTTTTCCCCTCTCCTTTTGCGGGTGCTCCGTTCCTGAGGCCTCTTCATCTATTGCTTCCTGATCTTAAGGTGCTGCTCTGCTGCTTACGATAATAGCTGTCAAAGATGGGTTACGACCGTGACGTTAGAGTAGGAGTGGAGGGGGTAGAAAAAGGACGAAAATGAACCTTCACAAGAAAATACATGGGATTTTACGCTAGAACTGTCATTGCCTATCTACTTATCTTTATTTATATAGAAATCACTAGTAAGTCTTTCCGACTACTTATCTACTGCAAGTACTTTTGTGACAAATAATAAAATAAACTATTTGAAAAATAAGAAACCATTTTTTGTATTGTATTGGCTCAAATTAAAAATGGAAACCTACTTATAGATAATTTTTCTGGCAATTTTAACTTTTTATTTTTTGAACTTTAAATTAGACAAAACCACCTTTGACTGAGAATGTCGGTGAAAACCACTATTGACACAATCAGTCAAAACTATTTTCGTTTAAAGACGTCGGTCAAAGCCGCCTTTGCCTGTTTTTTGCAGTTTTGACCAGTTATAAAGTTTTGAATTTAATATGCAATATAATGGGCAAGGTTGATCCTAACAGAGTAAACTCTCCGATACTTGTTGATTATTTTCACAATAATAACAGTTTAGCACAATTCAGTTCTTTCTAAAAGCACACTCACGAAACACCATACACACACTAAAAATGATCAGATCTTAGCTGACCTTACTGACTCCAAGCGTTTGTTTACAAAATTTATGCCCGCAGGTACTATTTCCTGCCTTATCCATTACACTTCGTCTTCGACTGCTCTTAACTTAATGTGTCTAGTGTCGCCGTTATGGCAGCGGGCCAATGAATTAGTCTAAGAAATAAACTAACTTCTATGATGCAGACATACTTCTTACATAAAAGATTATCTTTGTTTTCAGAATCCTGTGTGGGCTTTAAGTGTTCAAAAGGAAAAGTTTGCGTAATGCGAAAGGGCCAGCCCAAGTGCATATGTTCTCCAAAGTGCAACAAAATTAAACCTCGCGTTCAGGGACCCGTGTGTGGATCCGATGGGCGAACCTACAATTCCATGTGTAAGCTTAAAAAGCAAGCTTGCCGAAAGAAGTCTTCATCCCTTACTGTTGCCTATCATGGTGTGTGTCAAAGTAAGTTTATTATACTTCGTAATCTACAAGAGAGACTCATCCCACACCACCACACGTAATTTTTTCCCACCTCAACGCTAAACTGAGTCATATTTGTAGTGGATGAAACACGTGTCAATAAAATTACTTGTGGTAATTGGGACTGTGTCTCTTTTAGTTTATTTTCTTGTCATAATCTCTTTTTTTATTCTTCATTATACATATTTCATATGTTTTGGTATGCAAGAGAAGAGAAGGAAGTGAAAGAATCAATATAAAGTTAGCTCATAGTTGAGTCACCTTTAACAAAAGAAATCACTTCTATGCCCGCGGACGATTGATTTAGAAATTAGAAGGTGTATGTATGCAACACTGCACTGTACGGGTGCGAAACGAAGACGGTGCGCGAGACACAAGAGAAATGCTTAGAAGCTTTCGAAATATGATGTTTTAGGCGAATGATAATGATACCGTGGATAGAGAAGGTTAGAATGAGAGTGTATTAAAAAGAGTAGGAGAAATGAGGACGCTATGAAAGTCAATGAGAAGTAGGCCAGATAGGTTTGTAGGGTAGCGATGCAACGGTAGTGTCATAGCGAAAACAGAAGTAAGTACTAAATTTTTGCGGATGCGGAAACGGAAGCGCAAGCGGACGCGGAAGCGGAAGTGCAATGACTTTAGGTGACTCTTTAATGTAGTGGTCGTGCTCCCTTTTCGCGAATATTTTGTTACAGGTGTCGCATTTAGCACTTGCATCGTTAATATCAACAAAATAATCCCAAATGGAACTTCTTGGCTTCAAAATTATACTTTTAACTTAAAATTTACAGCACTGAGCAAACACTATACAAAATAAATAAACGCTACAACTGTATTAGTATTTTCGAAATGAAATTATTAGGAGAACTGGCTAAGGGGGAGCTGAAAGTCTTATTCGTTTTTAGATAAAACTAAGAGAATAAAATTTGGAAAACATCAAGATACTAAATACTAGGAAATAGATTTAGGCCCTAAAAAATAATAAAGTTATTTTCACAAGGACAATATTATTAAAATTTATGTTTAAATGTTAAAAAGAGGTCGTTGAAAGCTAGAGCAGGTACCTGCAATTCCATTTAAATTTTGTTTTGAAAATAGATGAGAAACAAAATTTTGTTAAGTTCTTATAAGCTTCTGTTATAAAAATGCGGAACCAGATGCAGAAGCGGATGTAAAAATATATGCGGAACTTCCGTAATTGCGGAAACAGAGGTCTGTTGCAACACTATTGTAAGGTATTTTATCAGTCATGAAGGTCTAGTTAGGAACCCATTAAAAGCATAAACAGGTGTTAAAGGGAGTAAAGATAGAGTACATAAGATTACCGTTCACAAATAGATAAAATGTAGGATGTTCTAAGTTTTAGAGATATGCGAAGATTAGTTCAGGATAGCAAAAGTGGTGGGTCTCCAACCAGTGTTAGGATTCGTAACGCTATGATGATTTCGTGTTTAAAATTTCGTAACATATACCAATTAAATAAAAATGTAAACTTACTTATAACTGCTTTTCAATTTTCATTTACGAGTATTCCACTTTTAAAACATTATGTAGAATTCAAAGCAAAAACTATTTATACCACAAACAACACCTTTTGAAAGGCCTTCTTGTCATGAATAAATGTGTCTATTATATTCGTTCGATTTCTTTCCCAATGGCTAAGGGCAAAATTTGTCCCAATAGTTATAAAAATATCCTGATATGAACTCAAAGGTCATATTGAAATGTACCTCTACTGAGTTTTTAGTTATGAGGGTGTAGTTTTATATCTTTTATATCATAAATGTCTATGTATGTTTAATTGCTTCTATGAAATTTGAATTGAATTTTTTAGCGAATTTTGAGGTTTGGAAACCATAAGTTAGCCAAGTTTTAAAATATGTTTTTTGTTCTATTTGTTTCGGTTTTTTCAAATGGTAGTCCCAGAATAAAGACTTAACCTGCAATACGCTGAAAAACCGCCCCTTTTTGAGTCCTAAAATGAACTATATTTGTCACTTAAATCCTAAAAACAAATTTAGAACCCTTTAACAACTTGATAATAACGAAAAAAGCTTATTGTTATACACGTAAGTACTCTATCTTAAATCATTATATTCAATCACCCATAAGTCATCCCAAACATATAAAAAGCGTCGTATTGATTGTCAGATCGTGATATTACAATGATATAAAAATTTTTAATTTAAACATAGGTAAAAATTTCTAATACCATTACAAACGTGTTTTAAAAACGTTGATTTTACAATTCTATTTAAGAAAGTCAAAAATAATTTCATTGTAACAAAAAAAAAGAAAAGTAATATTTCATCAAATTACCTAGGTGATTTATTACCAATGGAATTCTTATCTATAATTGGTATTTGTGCAAAACGTTAAGAATAAAACCCACAGTTATATTCTAAAGTACCCACCTATGTCTTTTATTGCTATTTATAATGTGTCATACATTTAGTTATCTTTTTTCCTAGTACCTAATGGTTCTGCAATTGAGTGTATGAAGGTAGACGTTGCTATTAAAAATTTACCTTTTATGTTTCCTCTACAAACAACAAATGCGGATATAATTAACTACTTCGATGTCTGTTATAAATTAACGGCTGTACAAAAAGCAGTTGGTTAGACGTATAAAATATGTTCAGATCGTGGTTAGCTAAAAGGAAGTTAAAATGTTTTAACCTAGGTTTTTTTCTGAAGGAAATGGATAAAAAGGTAATAGGTACTTTAAATCATGATTCGCTTAAAGGACAAATGAAAGGAGACTGAAGACATAAATTCAAAAGCAAAAATTAACGAATGCCAGTTTAATTAGTCATTAGTTGGAAGGATAAATAGTAACAGAATACACTTGATGTGTTATTGTTTTTATGTTATTTATTAGTTCATATTTTCATATTTAATTACTACTACAATAGAACCTCTATAACTCGAACATCAAGGGAGATCCCAAAAAGTTCCAGTTATAGAATTTTCGACTTATGGAAGATTTTGATTTAGGCGGATTGTAATTCCACTTATAGAGGTTTAGATTTGGTGTACTCATAAACTATAGACGTAAAACGTTTCAAATTATCGAGTTGTAAAGGTTGTAAAATAAAACATTGCTATGTTCAAGACTTAATTTTTCGAGTTATAGAGGGAAAGTATATACCAAAATGAACTCACAGACTCACTGATTATTTTGACTAATAGAAGGTTGGGATTTCGAGTAATGGAGGTTTTAGGGCTTGAAGGGAAGAGAACAAAACATTTTTTTGAGTTATAGAGGTTTTCGACTTATCGAGGTTCGACTTAAAGCGGTTTTACTATATAATGTATATACATTAAATTAAAAAATGCAGACTTTATCATTAACATAATTAATTTACACTAATTGAAACAATAATTCAAGGATGAATAATAAAAAATTTAATGTTATGTATTGGCCTACCTTGTTATGCACCTAAACCGTTTACATTATTATTAGGGTTAGTAAAGACTGTCACCTGCTTCATCACCTTAACTCACTTCTGATTGATCGACTCGCTTTCCCTGATTGTTACTATTCTCGGTATTTGTAATGAATATTGCTATTGATCTACTATCCGATTGGCGTTAGATTACACTATTGAAGAATATCAGAATCACTTCCTTTCTTTTCTTTTATATAAGGTTTGCAATAGAATGGATGTTTTCCTTTCTCCTTTATTATTTCCTTTTAACATCTGTGTGTATTTCCAGTAATTTAACATTCTTCTGTTGTGTTTAATCGCTTCCTCTTTCTTCGTTGACTTTTGCTTGTCTTTCAAGATTCTGTATGTACTTGCTTGTTTGTTCTATTTCGATCATCCTGCCCGACCGGTTGTTATAAATTATTATTATTTGTTGTTATTAATCTTATCTTCAATTCTTCGACTACCTCCTCCAATTAAGAAGTCTAATTCTAATTCGTCATCTGGTTGATTGCATATTTCCCTATGTTATTACATATTTTCTAACATTCGAACCTCTCCTCCAAATCATTAAGTTAAACAAAATGTAAAATACCAATTTTTATTTTTAATTATTAAATAACTTTTCTAAATATTCATTTCTATTTATACATGGACAAGTTTTAAACCTATTTTCTGGTTTGAAAATACTAAACCAATGGCTTCCACCGTAGTCGAGTTAAATTAAATTGCTGATGACAAAATCCTGGTTACATAATACTATTCACTTACAGTTATTATTATATTTTTTGTTCCTTATGCCTCCTAATATGCTCTTATTACATATAATAATTATAAAGATGAGACAGATCTTTCAAAAAATTTTTTTTATGTAGTGTTAAATGTTATGTACTATTGTTCTTTATGAATATTGTCAAACCACTATGCTCGACTTTTTTCTACACAAACACTGCATTTAATTGCAAACAATAGAACAATTTCATTAATAGATAACAAAATAAGAAATCATTTTATTTTGCAAACAGTTTTGATAACAATACCTTAATACTTTTCTTCATTCTCTGAACGTTGTAACAGATATTTCTCGTCATCATCATCATCATCATCATCGTCATAAGGCCGTTAGTCCTAAGAGTGGTTGGATACGCACCTCCACTCCTTCCTATCTTGAGATAATCTTCGAATTTCCTTAAAACTAGAACATCCCACATCCTTAACTATTTGCAAACAGTAATCTAATCTAGGCCTACCTCTACTCCTCTTAACTTCTATTTCTGCCTCTAATATGTCTCTGACTAAACCTTCATGCCTGAGAGATGTCCTACCAACCTATCTCGCCTATTTTTTATTGACTTCCATAGAGTCCTTTCTCCTTCTATTATTTCTAATACATCTTTTTTTTTCCCCCCGCGCCCACTGTCTATGTTTCGCACCCGTACAGCGCCCCGCTCCAAACATACTCCTTTAACAATATTTTTCAAATTTCTACATTAATAGTTTGCGAGTATAGAAATGACTTCTTTTAATTAAAGGCGACTCGACCCTGCGCTATCCTCTGCTTTATATGCCTAGTACTCCCTCCGTCCTGGCTTATCTAACTTCCTAGATACCTAAAATCAGCCACTTCTTCTAATCTTTCGTTTCCTATCTTATTCGTTCTTTCCCTACTTTTTCTTCTGTAGCTCATCCCTACATTTTTTATTATATGTAACATCTTGTCCCATTTAACATTGTCAAAAGCTTTTTCTAAATCTACAAGTCGTATATACTCTATTGTTACTCGTAAAGCTAGAATTGCCTCCCGCGTTCCTCTATTTCTTCTAAACCCAAATTGATCTTCCCCAAAATCTTTTTCTAAATTCAGAAATCCTATGTACCCACCCTTTCCTTTTTCTATCGCTTTCTCTATTGTTACTCGTAAAGCTAGAATTGCCTCCCGCGTTCCTCTATTTCTTCTAAACCCAAATTGATCTTCCCCTAATAGTTTTTCCGCTATTTCTAATTAATTAATATTCAAACTGGATTATTTGTGTCTTTTTACTAATGATATTCACAATTTAGGTTCCTGTGATAAAATTAAATGTTCGGCTGGTAAGCAGTGTTTAATGGATCAGAATCTAGTTCCACATTGTGTGCGTTGCAGTCATAAGTGTCAAAACTTTATCCCTCATCGACAAGTATGCGGCACAGATGGCGTTACCTATCCTAGTTCATGTCACCTCCGTCAAGAGACGTGTAGAACGGGTAAAGCGGTACCCGTTGCCTACAAGGGCCCTTGCAAAGGTATGTTTTACCTTACACTTGGGATATCTAAAAGTGGATTCGGTAAAGAACAACTTCTCCACTTATAGATATTCCAAAATATTTTTATTGTTAAGATTTAGTAGGTATTACTTTTGTTATTCATTTTTATTATGTTGTATAAGATGTGTTCCGAAATACAGCCCAGCATACTGGCCAGTGCTGTCATGAATCGACGACATATTGTTGATTGTCAAATTGATGCCATATTGAGAATAGTGTTTGTACTCGTTTACAGAAATTTTGCTTCAAATGTTATTAAAGTTTCTTACAATAAAAAATTCCTCAAAGTCTGATGCACACAAGCCCATTTGGCACACTACTACGTCACACTTGTCTCACCAGTACAATATGCTGGCACGCCAGTACAATATGGCGTCTATTCATGACGTCATCAGCAGTGGCCAATGTGGTAGGTTATATTTCGGACTACATCCCCTATGTTTAATATTTGAATAGCTTATACAGCGGCTTAGGGCTATTATTCTATTACTTTGCAAGAGGAAATAACAACATTCAACTCTTCGTATTCGTTATGCGATTGAAGATTAAATTAGATTAACTTAGATTAAATTATAAATTGTTAGCTGCTACTACGAATTATTAATGGTTATTATCCTCCTGCTTGCAGAGTAAATAAAGGGGCAGAAGTTCAAAAAGCTAACCTAAAATCCTCAACGGAAAACTTCCATTTACTTTCAGTTGTAGAATCGGGTGATTTCCGCTTTATATCAATAACTTTTAAATAATTAAAGTATTGTCTGTCAAATAATGTTAATTGAGCCAAGTACTAGCCGCACCTTATACACTGGCATAGATAATGAGGGTTAGAAGCTTCAAACCCCCCTCTCTCCTTCCATGCTTACGATTGTGAGAAGTGTAGAAACAACAAATAAAATGTTTCAGAATTGATTGCATCTTTTTAAGTGAATGAAAACAACCAACTTTTCAAAATCATCAGATCCTATTTCATTTTAATGTCTGGAAAAAAAAGCAGAATTCAGACAACTGCTGCTGCCAACATGCTTGAAATGATCAACATGAGCCAGTGTTATGCATCATATATAATTTGTATTTAAAAGAAAAATAAATAACCATTTTATTTTACATAATTGAGTTTTCCAAAAGTTTTTACATTAACTTCCGCAAATTATGACTACATCACTGCACATGTGCCTAACGATTTCAGAATTGTAAAATGAATTAAGATTTCTTTTATTTCAGCAAATGCAAATTGCAACACAATTCGATGTAAAAGCCAACAGTATTGTCTAATGGATCCTTTAACAGGATCTCCACGTTGTGTACATTGTTCACAAAGGTGTCCTGACTTTCGACACGTACCTGGACCAATTTGCGGTAACAACAACAAAACCTACCATTCCTGGTGTCATATGATACAGGATTCATGCGCGAAAGGATTTGTAATAGAAACCAAATATTCAGGCAAATGTGTAAGTAATTTTTACTTTAATAAATTCCATTATATGGCTTTCAATATTATAATCAAATTCAATAACAATTTCTCTTTTTTGGTGCTCTCCCTTTAACAAAACGGTTACCATTTAATCTTACAAATACTATATCTTTTTAAAGTGAAATACATAGTTCGAAAATTATTAAATAAACATAAACCCATACAAAAAGGACAAACAACTAAGCATCACACCATAACTCGTCGGCTATTTTAAAATATTTTTCGAAAACGTTTTAGAAATGTGAAATGATGTAAATGTTTTGAGAAAACATGTTTAAGTCGTTATTTCAAAAATGTTATCTTCTTCTAAAAAATTCGTAGTCGAAAATCAAATGAAAAAAAGAAATAATAAGTTAATTGAGAAAGTTGTAGGTGTTTAAAAGATCTATCTATCCATTTATTTTGCTATCGATCAGTCCATTTTTCGAAGTATATCGAAAAACCCGTCGAACCCGACTTTTTTGTTTTCACTTTAGTTTTTTCAATTTAACGTTTTTTAATTTACTAGTGGCTGTAAATGTAGCCCTTGGCAAGCCAAAAAAGTACCTTTGTTAGAAATGAAAAAATATAAAAAAAATCGAGATATTGATTTTTCGAAAAAAGGTGCTCTCGAAAATTGACTCTATCTCGAGGGAGATCCGAAGGAAACCATTTTGGGCTTATTTGTTGTACTTTCACGGTAAAAAAATAGCAAGGATTTTATTAGTTTAAAATGTCCAAAGATGAATTTGAAAAATTTTGAACTTTGAAAATTTAATCGTAATTATTTTTTTATAAACACTTACCAAACAAATATAATTATTGTATTCATATTTTTCTCGCCGAGCTACCCCAGATTAAGTACAAAAGGATTTTTGTACGTGGTCAAGAAGTCGAGATATTGTAAATTTTATAGGCTCGCACAAAATTCTGAACTAACGTATTCAGTTTTCATTTTGGTCGCATGAGGTACCTTCTTCTTTTTTGCTCGAGCCACGCTCGTATGCTTCACTTTGATTTTTATTTATTAATGCTAAGGGTCGATGTAACGATCTTTAATATTTTGAGTTTTATTCAAAGAAAACTATGGTAGTCTGTATTTAGGAAACTTACCGTAACTTTTTTTATTTTGACACTACAATGAGCAATCAATTGGATATTCAGAACCAATTGAGCTTGATTATGAATTATCAAAATCTTGGATAATTTAAGGACAATATAACTTGCCAGCATTTTTTTCTTTTAGGTAAATTCAACGAGTCTCTGAAAGCACTCCTCTGCTCCGAAACTAAGCCAAAGATTTGTACATCACGTCACAATATGTAAATAATGAGTTAAATATAATTTAGAGGTAAAAATCTGTCAGTTTAGTTATGAATATCATTAATGTTATAATACTTTGTTAATGCAAAAGTAATTGCGTGCAGACTATTGACTGACTTAATCGGTAAGCAAAACAAATACTCTTAAATTAGTAAAATTTTTAACCATTGTCAGGACGTGTACTGTGTGCTCTCATTGAAGTACTTGGTAGTTAAATGGTATTCATATTGGTTCAAATTGCACACATACATACATACATACATATTATACCTATCGACTGTATTGTTTACCTGATACTAATATTTAGATGCATTACAATAACGGTTACGGTGCTTATTATACATACACGATATACACGTACTTGTCAGATTTGTTTTTAATAATCGAGTAAAACAAATACTGTCTTTTATAAACTATCACTAGCTTTTAATTAAATATAACAGCAGTAGAACAAAACAGTTATGGTACCAACTACTGTTAAATGAAAAAGCTCACTGACTTATTCCTTATCGATACTTAAGCTGCAACAAATACTTACTTCGAAAGTTGGATGAAAATTTTTTGCATCCAACTGTTTTTTTGTTTCTATGTTATTTATTTTTAGGGCAACTTGTTGGTGTTCATCCAGTATTTGATCGATTTTTATTATAATTGTACAATTATGTGTAGAAAAGCGTTGTGTTAACAGTTTCTCTTTAAAATATTTAAAGTACGAATAATTTCCAATGTTGTTGAGATTTTATAAATTGAACTTTAATTGTTTAGACTGATTATTTATTTGTATTTATTGGAAGAAGTTTCAAAAAATAAATTCTTATGATTCCATTAGGTGTTTTTTTTTGCTACATTTCACCTTCTCTATTTAATAATAATATTATAGAGGTTAATTCTGAAGAAGTTACAATTCGAAGCCAGTCCTGAGCGTGCAGTGAAATTGCGATAACAACTTAGAAGCTACATCGATGAAGAATGTCAACAGTGTGAAACGACTTATAAAGTAAGTATCAACAGTTTACTTAATAATGTTTAGACGTCCATTACAAAAAAAAATAATTAAATAACTACTCTGTTCACCGCTGATAGCTTGCAGTACTTTTTAAAGTACTCCTCGACATGATATTAAAGCATAAAACAAAGAAAAATTTAATGTTACGTAAACATTAATAGGCAAATTAATATCCTCAGGATGGATAATTGTAATTTTAGTAATTATAAGGTAAATTTCCAAACCGCCATTGAGATATTATTAAAGAGCATTACCTTTTCTTTATAGGTGGATCGCCTATAGGCTTTGTTTCCTTTAAAAAAAAACATGTGTGCAATCCACACGTGGTAGAAGTGAAACCATCAAAAATTTTCGTTTCAAGATCGCGACAATATTCTGCATTATTTTTCGGCATATTTGAAGAATTTCATTATAAAAATGATGAAAAAACTCTACAAACATATAATGGGTACACGTATACAAAATACCACGGTTGTTGTGATGCCTTTCCTCAAGCTTTGTACTACGCATGCACTATAAAAATTATTTCTGAATTACGTAAAACCGTCCGGCATTTGGTGCACTTTATTTACATACAAAGAAATCAAACGGATTTAGATCAGGACTACGCGCCGGTCAGGATCGAAGATGCAATAATACTCTTCACTGACCTATAACACTGACACATTTACCTACTTCGAATGACTTCGACTGTCTATTACGTACGTAATACAAGCTTATGACGTTAAAAGAACAAAGAATTACTCTAGGCTGGCTGTAAATCGTCAATCACCCAATCAAATCTAACAAATAACAAACAATACATGAGTACAAAAATAGATACATAAGAAGTATAACACGGATGCTGCTAAGTAACAGGCGATTGGTGGGGCATTGCAATGTCGAATTTCCCTAAATGAGCTTACCAGGACCGGACTAGCTCTTGTATGTACTTTAAAATGCGTTTTTCTCGAAAACGGTGGACTTTTGGACCACCGAACATTTACTTAATTTTCTTGTTTTACAGTACCCTATTACCTCTTGCAAGCTTGTTATTTATCTTAAAGAAACAACAGAAACGAAATTTTTAGTAAATGCTCTGATATATTTTACGTATCTTCGTTACTTATTCAATTAATGTGAAAGAATTAAATTTTTTTAATAAATTTCAAAAGTTATTTCGTATTTGAATCAAACTTTTATCTAATCAAGGCACTTCAAGCCGGTCAAAGTTCTGGAAAGTGTTGTTGGTTGTCAAAAAAGTAAATCGTAAATGGATTCGAAACAATTTTTACAACTGAGAGAGAAAGAGAAAAAAAAACAATTGTGTGGTTTTATGAAACCACGATGCAAGTAAAACTTTTTGGATTGTAGACATTTAACTGTAAATTTTCAAAAACTTAAGAGTATTAAAATTAAAATCGCATTCTTAATCTTATCTTAACGATTGGAAAATGGGAATAATAATGGGAAATCAATAGCAAACAAGATATCCAACTTTAAATTTTAATTTCAATCTACGTATGAGAGTACGGAATACATAATAAATACAATCATTCAGATGATAGACGCATGTTAAAAACTGAGAACAATATTTATTGAAATTATTGAATCGTTTTGAACTTCAGTTATTCTATCAATAATTTCATCTTCGCTTTGAGTTTCAGTCTATAAATATAATTGTCATGCACTTGCACGAACGAGTGAGAATATAAATGCTACACGGTTAGCTCATGTGAGCTACAAGCCCGCCATATTGGCCTTGGCTGCTCTGCCGAGCTCCTTTCAGTTTTACCCCTACTCCACGGTCGGCTGCGACATGCGATAGATGGACAAAAGAATTTGAGGCGATGTAATAAAAGTGTCACATTAAAATGCTATAAATTCCAAGGATAGAATGATTGATGTTGGATAAAGCAAATGGACTGTATTTATTTTTAATAATAACTTTATGGTATACAACGTTACAGGGTGTAACAGAAGTAAGTGCTGGTATTTGGAGGGTGTAAACAAGATGAAATAAACAATCGCATGATGAGTCCATCAACGCAGTTAAGGGCAATTTTTTTTTTAAGAAAATCACAATAATTTACTATCCGAAACCGGCCCTGTGCGTGAATTGGCGACATAGTTGTCTACTCTGGCTGGCTGTCTACTCTGCAGCTACATGAATGGAGAATGTAAACTTTCCCAATAATCGCACGTCTAATATAAACATAAACAGTTTAGTACTACACTTAATGTTTAGACTAAACAAATTAAATAAGTTCATTAGAGGTACCACTATGTAAATGTACGAACACAAAAGAAAGAAAAAATGTAAGTTACGTAAACATTAGTCGTTGAATTAATTAGATATTTGTAATTTAATTAAGGCAAATTTCTACACCACCTTTGAGGTATTACCAAGCAAAGCTTGCAAGCACTCGCTACAAATAATAAGGATGCAGCAACTGTTCCTTTAACATTTGCTACACAAAATTTAAAAGTTAAAATAATAAACGGCTAGTAGAGATTGGTTATTCGTATAAACATCTTCAATCACAATTAATCTGATCTATAAAATAAATAATACGTGAGCAAACGATACAAAAAATATATACTACACTGATGCTGATAATCACCAGGTGATTGAGTGCAGCGTTGCGGACCGTATTACTTTCTCAGGGCCGGAATTAATTGACCTGTACTTTCAACTAAGTTGTTCACGAAACTTTCGGACATACAAACATTTAGCTGCTTAATTTTCATTTTTTATAGTGCTCTATCACCTTCTGCAAGTTCAACACTTATTTCTTTTACACTCTGTATTTACAAATCGTCCATACATCGCTTTAGACGAATTAAAAGACATGAGCACTTACATAAAAATCACCTTCAAAACTAGCCCTTTCGGCATCGATAACCGCCTTAATATTCATTATTCTTTCAATGGAAACAAACCTTTTACACTTATAAAAAAAGTATGTACAATAAAAAGATCGGTTGTCTGTAAAGTCGGTTTACTGACGATAGTTGAACTTGACAACGTCATAAGAAAATACTGATGGAATGGTTTCATTTTTCAAAAGAAAATTTTAATTTTATTTGTTTGATAGATATTTTGTATGGATATAGAGAAGGAGGTAAATGGAAATGTATTATTGTATAGCAGCTGTCCACGCGGACGCATCGCTCAATCAAGTAGGAGAGAGGCAGATGTCGAACGCTGCCGAACGCGGAGGCCGATTGTGCCTCTTTGTCGCTCGTTCCGTGCTCTCGCTTGCACTTCAAGCCTTAAATGGAACGCCTCAGAGCGAGGTAACGCCGCATTAGTCATGTTTTTTCGTGCGTGCATCGAATTATAAGACGTTGTCACGTCAAAAAATCGGACATATAATAATTGTCCGTTAAGTTGTGAGATCATCACCACTGGAAGGTTAACACTTTGGAGTTTTACAAATTGTAGTTAATCATCGTTTTATTAGAATGCCATTACATTTTACTGTAACAACACCTACCACCTCGTCGTTACCGTGGTGTACTTATCTCCAAGACCATTCGTCATTACCCAGGAAGAATATTGTCTTCTTTAATATTCAACAGATCGTTAACCTTAAATGATCTTGGTATCGTGTTGACGCCATTTTGATCTTGTTTGTAATTTTAGAACATATTCGCGTTGCCATGAATTGTTCAAGCCGTTGATATTTCGATAAATATCTTTCTTCTACATCTACTACACTCGGTTTGGGAATTGTCATGACGGTCTTTTTAATGAGAAAATGTACTGCGGTGTAAGAGATAACAGATCATTTGGATTAATTAAGAGCGAAAGGTCTAGAATTCAAGACACCTTCTATTTAATAAAATACTGTACGAAAATCCTCATATTTATGTTAAACGAATATTTCTACGCTTTTAATTCTGGTCTCTCTCAATGCCCCAATGTTAGGAGACATAGGAGTGATAAAATTATCATAGTAGGTACAAATTCAAGCGTTTTTCGTTTTTCTGGGAATAAACCTCTTTAAAATCGTAAGAAAAGCATCAGTGGTTAAATCGGACACAAGTTCCAACTTCTTCCGAAAATTGGGCAGTATTGTTGAGGATCACAATGAAGCAACTTGTGATATTCATAGGTCATTATGTTAACTTGCGTTTATTGTATAACAAAATATACAGTGGCGGATCTTGAATTTGTGGGGTCCTGGGCTAATACTGCTTAGGGGTCCTACCTAATTTCCCAACCAATTGCCATTTTGTCAAAAAACAGTTTTCTGTAGTGATGTAGATATATATAATATATGTTAACTACAGGAAGAAAATAGGACAACAAAATATTTTATTTATTTATTAAAACATTATTTATTGCAAAATAAATTGACAGGCTATGAATGGTCATGTTATATAAATTATAAAGTAACCTTTCTGCATTTTTGTGCTGCAAATTCCTTTATTTGGTCATCGCACTGTAAGTCCTTTGTTAAATCGCAATTTATGGAAAGAACTGTTAAATGATTTAGTCGATAGTTCAACATTGTTGTCCTGTATTTGTATTCTGTATACGACATCCTGGAGAAAGAGCGCTCCGCTTCACAGCTAGTGATCGGCAACGTTAACAAAATCTTTAAGATGGTATAGCAGTTTGGGAAAACATCAACAAATTTCTTTTCATAAATTACCCAAAAAAAAATCACCGCAAGAGGTGTAAGACTCTGTCTTAGACTGCAGTAAGTAAAATTTTAACTGAATGCACTCATTCACTAAATGTAACTAACAAAATTGCGTCGGGCGATAAGCGGAGGGAAGTCCCCAGTAATAGACAATACACGGAATACACCGACCGAAAACAAGCGACGGGGAATTCCCCGTTCCGTTTGATAGATGCGCACACGGGTTGATTGATCGCAGTGTTGTCAATCTTATGATCGGATTTTTTTTTATTGTAGATAATTTTTATTATTGACAATATCGTCTATTGTTTTCAGTTAAGGTTGGGGGCCCTCTGTATTCACGGGGCCCTGGGCTGCAGCCCAAAAAGCCTTTAAGTAGATCCGCCCCTGAAAATATAGGGTGTCTTTTAGGAAACAAGGACTTACAATTAGAACGCCATGTATTAATAGGACAAGTAATAAACGTTTACTTAATTATTGTTTATAAAAAGGTATTTATATTGGTAAACATCTAGTATGGTACAGTTAGTTAACACATCAAAAAAAAAATATTTTATTTGTAATTAGGCATAACAACAACCGTAACATAGGACAAATAGGTACGATTATTGAAAGTCAGGAATTAAAAAGTCCTCATCTATACGTTTAGAATAAAGTAAATTTTTATTTTCTTCTACAGGAACAAATTTTAAAAGCACGACTCCTGAAAATTCCATAAAATAATAGGTATATTTAATAAAAATTGAAAAAACGAAATTACCTGATGGTTTTACTGTAACCGATACAAATTCGTCTTTGCTTAATACGACATTTCCTTCCTTATATGGATCTAGTATATTCTAAAATAATAGAAAAAGAAACATATTTACTCAAGATATTATTAATCTACACAACTTTAATTGAGCGACTATTCTGAGTGCGCACTCCTTTCTATTTTACTGCTTGCCCTTTGTTCTCTTCTCACTCTTAACTCAATGATCGTCAGTTAAAATAATATCGCCGACATTTCTTATTCTACACCTACCTGTCATTGCATTTATTTGCGCATTCTGACGGTTATTTGTTACAATCACAGTTAGATCGTCTAATAATAAGTAAGTCTAATCTTGTTCTAATTTCACGTTCATACATTAAATAAGTGAAACTTGCACCCTTTGTATAATGCGAAATAATACGATAACAGCGTTATACTTCGTTGAGTTATTCTAGCGATGTGACCTTTAGTTTGACCGGCGCAAAGTAAAAAAGAACAGCACTGGGCCAGAAAAGGAAGGAGACAACTCTCGGCCAAACTCGTAACCGGTGAGGATCGTACAATCCGTACAGTACTGCACGGAAAAATTGAACATTTATCCACTAAAATTGCATTGCTCAAATGTGCTGTTATTGGTACCAATCACCACTGAAAACGTCAACGAGATGTTTACTTAGATTTAAAGACATATCAAAGGCTTTAACGCTTGTTTTCGACTCACACTCCTATATATGATTGAAAAAACTTTTGACAGGTACTGTATGAAAAAGTAAGTTTAATGAACAAGAGTCGAGAGTATTAATGAGCTTTTTTCTCCCTACCTACGATTTTGCCAGCGCGCATCCAAGACATTGGAAACGGTACATTGCTAGAGAAAGTAAATGAAGTATAATTACAGTTCGTTTTAAGAAGTTGGAGATATGCCCCTTCCCTTTATTAGGATGCGCCGTAGAATAGTTCCAAATACAATCATATTTGTCTGCGTAGCTCATTTCTTCACCGATCATAGAGCGCGAACTAGACAAAAGAGTACAGTACCATTTGCAAAATTATTTAAACTGCCGCGTTAAAATTTAAGAATATGCTTTATTTAAAAGCATATTTAGCCAAAAATAATAACAAGTGAATTAACTTAACGTTCTACACACCTATAAAACTTTTGCTTTGTTTTCTATTGTTAATTTATATACATTTTTGTTTTAAGAAATTGCTAAACATTTTCGTCTAGTACTATACAGTTCTAGCCGATTTCCTAAGACCGCCCATCGAGAGCTCTGCTCGTTCAAGCTTGTTCCAACTATTTCTGTCTTGCTCACGCCTAGTGTGTATTCTTTCTATCTTCGCGCAGATTTCTTCAAGGTCACAATTCAAACAAATTGAAATGGGCTGTACAAACCGTTAATATTGTAAAGTGTAATTCAACTACCTTTATACACAAAGAGAAACTTTGAGGTAGGTAGATTAAAATAAGACTTACGGTAACCATGTATGATTCGCTACTATTAATCTGTAATTCATTCAAACTAATAACAAGTCTGTATGGGTATCCGCCCTTCATTCGACCTAAAAATGCCACTGCGTAAGATTGTGAATCATCAACTACTGGCTGTATTGGCTTCATCCAAACATTTATATTAACTTTCTGCAAATAATAAAATGGTCATGAATTTTGTTTTTTAAAACACACAAATTTTAATTTTCTATAAGATACTTTTCATATACGATATATGTATGTATCTATTAATACTAGAAAGCTACGTACTGTTAATATAAGTGTTCCCTGAATTCCAAGAGCATCTTGATTAATCTCGATAATATCTTTATTTTGCAGAATATCCTTTATTTCAGGTCTTATTTCTGCTAAATCAGCTGACATTAGCAAGGGAGCTGCTAAAATAGCCCATAAAACCATTTGTGATTTACTCTGTTCATAGCTCAGACCATAATTACCAAGCAATAACTAAAACAATAATACTTAACTTTATTTTATTATGCTTTGTTCGAAATGTGATGTTACTGGCGAATGATAGGATACCGTGGATAGAAAAGGTTAGAAATGAAGTATTACAAAGAACAAGAGAACAGAGGACTATGGAAGTTAATAAAAATAGGTAGGATACCGTCTCAGGCATGAAGGTCTAGTCAGGGACATATTAGAGGTATAAACAAGAGTTAAGAGGAGTAGAGATAGACGTAGATTAGATTACTGTTCGCAAATAGTTGAGGATGTGGAATGTTCTAGTTCTAAGGAAATTCGAAGATTATCTCAAGACAGGGAGGAGTGGAGGTGCGTATCCAACCAGTCTTAGGACTGACGACCTTATGATGATGATGATGATGATGATGAGAAATATCTGTTACGACGTTCAGAGAATGAAGAAAAGTATTAAACGATTGTTTACTTGATATAGGTATGTGTAACAGTTTGCAAAATAAAATGATTTCTTATTTTTCGAGATGTGGGATGTTCTAGTTTAAAAAAAAAACAAATTGTTAGACGGATGTCGACCTGTTAAACTAAACACATAGCAAGGACACTAACAGTGTGGGTACTCAGAAGCTCCAGCACCCATGGAACGTAAGTAGAAGCCGAACCCTAATAATATAGGTTTGTTCGGAAAGTCATTTCGTTTTTTTTTGTGGAAATGAAAGACAGTTTTCGTATAATAAACAAATACTTTATTAAATTATATATTGACCGTTCTGATCCAACACCTTTTGCCATCTTTCTGGTAGTAGCATAATTCCACGCTCATAAAATTTTTGGTCTTTGCTGGCAAAAAACTGATCGAGGAGGTTTTTGA